AGTACTTATTATATAGGCTTTCTTAAAATGGAAATCTAGTGCTATACGTATTTTGAATCTTCTCACGTTCTGCTGTGCATATGACATGCTTCTGTTTCTTTTCTTATTATGCATTTGTTTCATTATTTAAGTTTATAATGTTTCTTTTTTTTCTTATTTTGTATTTCTGTTTTAGCAAAAAAAAAAAAAGATGACACAAAAAAAGGCATTCAGTACTGTCACAAAGGAGATTCAACATAGAATTCAAGTCAAGGCAATTACCTCCAAATGCTTTTGTTTGTAGATTTTACTATGCTTATTCCCTTGCAATATTATAGAGCTTTTTAAATGATATCATAATCACTCCAAGAATTGTCTTCATTTCTGCACAGGAAAAATCAATTACATGAAGAATGCTTATTTTCAAGATTATGATAAGCAGCTGAATGTTCATCTACCAATGCATATCTATGTATGCATATACATCTATATCTATCTGCAGGCATCTGTAACTATATATCTATATTTATAAAATATATTTATATATGTTATAAGTGACATATAATATAACATGTTATTTATGTTGTATATAGTTACAGATGGATCAATATATAGATAGATGGAGATCATCATCACAATAATAATAGTAATAGCTAGCATTTATATGGGTTTATTATGTGCCAGGGTCATGCTAAGTCTCTACAATATCTTATTTGATCCTCACATTAACCCTGGGAGGCAGGTGCTATTGTTGTCTCCATTCTACAGTTGAGAAAACTGAGGCAAACAGAGATTTATAGCTGTAGATATAGAAATAGTAGAGATAGAAAGACTGATAAAGATAGATGGGTATAAATAGATATTTTGAGTAGGTTCTTCAAACAGTTCCTCCTTTAATTGCTCTCCTGGATCTACTTCTGACTCAACTGCCTTTACCCTGTGGTCTTCTCACCCTAGAACATCCTTCTACTTCTACAAATCCCTCCTTCTGTTGATTAGTTTCTCCAGAAACCTCCATTTTAAGGAATAGCCTAGCCATCTTTCATTCTTCTGATGACTCTGTTTCTGATAAAAACTTAACAGAGGCAGAAGTCAAATTCTGTGTAATTAGATGGTACAGTGGATAGAACAATGGGCCTGAAGTCAAGACTCATCTTCCTGAGTTCAAATCTGTCCTCAGACACTTACTAGCTGTGTGACCCTGGGCAAACCAATTAACCCTCTTTGCTAAGGCAAAGGTTTCCTCATCTGTAAATGAGCTGGAGAAGGAAATGGCAAAACCACTCCAGTATCTTTGCCAAGAAAACCTCAAATGGGGCCACAAAGAGTCAGACCTAACTGAACACTGGGCTAGATTTTGAGGATAAAACAAAGAAATCAATCATTAGTCCTTCCTTTCACAATGTTTGTAATCTGATAGAGTTTAAATCTAGTAAACTGCCCTTCAGAAGTGGGGCTTCATTCTGTATTGCTCCAAGAGGCATAACTAGACCAATAAGAGAAAATTACAAAGGGGAAGACTTTGGTGCAAAGGAAGACATCTCCAATAATTACAGCTGTCCAAAGTCAGAAGAGATTTTCTCATTTGGAACTGAAATCGCTTAAGTAAAAGTTGGGTTGCTGGAAGATACCTAGAGTTTAAAGGGCCCTCAGAGGTGATTTAGTCTAACTCTCTCATTTTATGGGTGAGGAGCCTGAGGCCCAGGAAGTGAAATGATTTGCCTAAGGACTCATCACTAGTGAGTATTAGAGGTAGAGGTGGAATTTGAAACCTGGTCCTCAGACTTGTTAGAATGAGATAAACTAGGAAATATCGGATGAACTTCTGCTTTGGGTGAGGGTTAAGCTAACTGTCATTTAAAACTTCCCTTAACTCTATGATTCTTTGATGTTTGAATGTTCTGTTGTTCAATAATTTCCATATACACAAGTAAGATTTAAATTTACTTAGACATTAGGCATATATGTTCATTTCACACATGAATAAGTATAAATCTTGTCCTGGGATGAGGTTATGCAATGTTAGAAAAACCAGAGGTCATTTCTAAAGGGATTTCAAGCATGTTTTGCTTGGTGATACTCTGCTCTTTACAAAATTTTGCTTCTACTTGTGTTTATTTTGGGGCCATAGGTTTATCCCCCAAATGACAAATTATAAATTCCTTGAAGGTGTAGGCAGTTCTTAGGTTCACTTAATAAATATTCCAGACATGCTAGCATTCTGTTTACCATAAACCAATTAATTTATTGGGTGTCTTCCAGCCACACATTTCCCCTTCCTCCATTCCCCTTCTAACAGGCTTCCCTTGATATATATATATATATATATATATATAAAAATCAGATCAGATCAAGTTAGTTTCATTGGTACATTCCTAATTGGACACATAAAATTGACATTCTAAAAAAAATACTCCTTCACTCCCCTTTTAGGAAGCTATTCCTGTTGACAGTGTTTAGAGGTTTAGAAACTGCTCTGAACATGAACCCCTAGAAGCAAACTAGAGATTGGGACTGTGCTTGTCATCCTGATACTGAAAAGAAAATAGAGATGAAATTGGTTGGAAAGTTGCGTGAAATCAGGCTGGCTTTGAATGTGACAGATTTTATTAAATAATTATTTTATTTTTCTTTACTTCTTTATCATTGCTGTGCAGTTATCTGATTTATAGCACATTGTTCTTAGCTGTTTGCTTGCATTTTAACATAATGGGAAATTTTAGGAGTCCTTAGATACTCTGCCAAAATCCATCCTACCCCTTGCACAGCAAAGCCAGGATGGTGGGAAACTATTCCTCATTGGTGTATGACATACATCTTGTATGTCATTGCTTTTGTATAGGCTATCCTCCACCTAGCTCCCACCCCCAATTTCAGAATCCTTCTCTCCTTCACTTTTTATATAGTCACTGGTTTTCAACTAGATAACACAGGGCAGCTAGGTGGCACAGTGGATAGAGTACTTGGGCCTGGAGTCAGGGATATTCATCTTCCTAAGTTCAAATCCAGCCTCAGACACTGTGTGACCCCAGGAAAATTACTTAACCCTGTTTGCCTCAGCTTCTTCATCTGTAAAATGAGCTGGAGAAGGAAATAGCAAAACTCTCCAGTATCTTTGCCAAGAAAACCCCAAATGGAGTCACAAAAAGTCTCACAACTGAACAATTAAAGTTTTCTTCAAGGCTCAACACAAGCACCTCCTTCTATGAAGCCTTTCCTAAACCTCATCAGCTGTTAATGCCTTTCCTGCTCAAAATTAACTTATAGATATTTTTGATTACATTTTGGATATATTTATATAATATGTCTATGTGTTTTCTACCCTGACCGAATGTACTTGAGGGCTTATTTCATTTTTATCTTGGTATTCATGTAAGTTTTTGACAATTAGGATGTACTTATCAATTGATTTATTAATTGATTATATTCCACATGATGTGAAGTTAAACACACTATTATATAGTGGAAAGAATAATGTGTTAGAGATCAATAAAGTGGAAAGCTGTTGAGTCATTTCACTCGTGTCTGACTCTTCATGACCCAATTTGGGTTTTCTTGGCAAAGATACTGGAGTGGTTTGCCATTTCCTTGTCTGGCTCATTTTATAGATGGGGAAACTGAGGCAGACAGGGTTAAGTGAGTTGCCTAGGGTCACACAGCTAGGGTCTGAGTCTGGATTTGAACTCAGGCCTTCATGACTCCAGGCCTGGCACTCTATCCACTGCATCACCCAAGGTACACAGTTAGTAACATTTACCATTTGTACATTGTCCTTATTTAAGAAGTATCCAAACATCCTGATGTTACTGATGCTTACATGAGATATAATGGTAGAAATGAGTTCCTGGGCATATTAATAAGTTTTGTTTTTTTTGTTTTTTGTTTTTGCTAGGCAATGGGGTTAAGTGACTTGCCCAGGGTCACACAGCTAGTAAGTGTTATGTGTCTGAGGCTGGATTTGAAACTCAGGTCCTCCTGAATCCAGGGCTGGTGCTCTACCCTCTGCGCCACCTAGCTGCCCCCCATATTAATAAGTTTATAAAGAGAAAATTGTAGGGATGAGAGAACTGTAAGTATGGAGAAATAGGAGTCATTCAGGTGTACTGTATTGAGTCAAGATTGGGGAGGGACAGGGACACACACACACCACACACACACACAGAGGCAGACAGACAGAAAGAGTGACAGCATGCTTGGTATGTTGGGACTAAAGAAGCAGTATGTGAGAAGCCTATCTTCAATATTCCTAGTGAGTACATAGAAATTCCCATGAATTGCAAGCAGTAAAGGAATAAGGGGCTTGAGGATCACAGTGGTGGTAGTGGTGTTTGGAATCCTCATTCCTCCTTGTGGAATGACACCAATTTGGGGCTGGGAGGGCGGTACTTCATGATTGGAAATTCATAGTCTCCCTTCAGGAAAGAACTGCCTAGCCTGAGTGATAGTAGCCAGGTGAGCAGCAAAGAGGAAGGACAGGAAAAGGAAGAAAGGGGAAAAGAGACAAACCAATGTAGACAAAGCCATATAATGAGGGGAGAAAGAGACAAAAGCATGCATAGAAGTAGAAAAATGGGTATGTAGATAAAGTGATAGAGATGCACAGACAGACAGACAGATAGGAAGTGTTGGAAAGGAGAGAACAATCATACTCTGAGATAGGAAGATAGGTTTCATGGGGTTAATTGATGAGACAGCAGAAAGAGTAGTGGGATTAGAGTGAAGAGGTCAGAGTTTGAGTTTTAACTCCTATATTTACTATGTGTGACTCTGGATAAGTCACGTCATGTCTCTAAGTCCCAGTTTCCTCATCTATAAAAGAGGATGTGATTTTTGCATACCTACCTTAGTGATTTGTTATGAAGAATGATTTTTTCTTTTGTAAATATTAAAATATATAACTTTAAATTACATAAAATTTTATTGTTAGCCTTAGTATCACCACTAATAATAATGAATGGGGTGGAGAAGGGCAAGTCTCAAATTTTCAGTAACCAGAAGAGGACAGCAAAGACCTGGCTCACCTGGTGTGGCAGCTACCTGGACAAGGAGCTGATGAAATGAGGACATTCTATCAGAGAATGCTAGTTATGATGGGGAACACATAGTGATCTTGTTTAGTTGAGGTGGAGAAATACCTACAGGTGAGAACATAATTGAGTTACCAGTACAGCAGTTATTAGCTGACATGCTATGTCATTTAGGAAGAAGGGAAATGTCTTTTAGTTTTCAGACATCTGGCCAAATCAGACTGACCAGACAATTCCAAGCCTTTGCCCAGCTCAGATGAGCTTGGAATTCAAAACAAAGGAAGCTACAGTGTTCCTCTTTGTTGTTGTTATCATTCAGTTACTTCAGTCATGCCCAACCCTTCATGACTCCATTTGGGATTTTCTTGGCAAAGATACTAGAGAGGTTTGCCATTTCCTTCTCCAGCTCATTTTAAAGATGAGGAAACTGAGGCAAACAAGCTAAATGACTTGCCCAAGTTTACATAGCTAGTAAGCTTCTAAGGCCAGATTTAAACTCATGAAGATGAGTCTTCCTGACTCCAGGCCCAGCACTTTGTGCACTATGGCACCACCTAGCTGCCCTTGTTTCTCTTTGGTCCTGCCTTATTCTCCCATAGTATGTTTGCCTAAATAAATATGTAAAGACTACAGCATAGAAGTTGAAGGGAATACTGATACAGGAGTTTTGAAATTGATTTGTTCACAATGAAGGATGCTTCTCTTTTGCCTCCAAGAGATAGAAAGGATTGCTAACTGGAACAAATACACCAAAGGCTAACTGGGATAATTTGCCCAGGACAGACTATTAGTTCTTCTGATACAGGTGAGATGATTTTCTCTTATAATGTTTAATACAGATCAAGAGGATTTCCTAGATACAAAATGGAAAAGAAGGTATAGATGTTGCAGGCCTGCACAGCTCATCCAGATGGTCTGCATATGCAGGAAATTTCATAAATTTTCCGTTCTGACGTTTACGAAGTTACAGCAAATTGAACCTCTAGTTGTTGTAGTGAGTGGGTGATAAAAATATGCAGGATGATGATGTGTGTGAATCCCCTTGGGACAGAGCTTGAGCACCACTGGTTCGTTTGCTCAAGATTGCATTTGGCAGGGTTTGCAGTGAAACAGACAGCAGGAAAAGACACACAAGCTGTTGCCCTGATTGGTTCTTATTTTGGCTGGCAAGATCTTCTTAGAACAGCATTTTTGGAATTAGACTTACTCTGAATTACTTGCTTCTTTTCTTTCTGCCAATATTAGATATAGTATTTCTTCTTGAAAATTTTTTTAAAGAGCTGAACTAGGACTATGCAATGAGTATGTATTGTGTCCCACTTTATAGTGTGCTACGTAAAAGTGTAATCTCATAAATATATGAGCTATGTGGTAATGAGTTCAGATAGAATTCATTGTAAGATTCCTTACAATGGTCAGGTCACTTAATTTATTAGTGCTCTAGACCAGAGGTATTGAACATGTGGCCCACAGGCCAACATATGACCCACAACACTCTGAGGGGAGCCCAAGCCAGATTAAAGCGTGATTCCAATCGGATTTTAATGTATGGATGTGGTAATACAAATATATAAGCATGTGTGGTTTTCTAAGTCAGTATGTGGCTCACAAGGATCCTTTACATATGGTTCATTTCTATTTGAGTTTGACACCACTGCACTAAACAAATCTCTAAATTTGAGAGAAAGTGAAGGCCTATATTGACAGAGGCAGTTTTCTCATTGGGGAATTCCCTATGACCAGGGATATGCTGAAACCAGCTCTAACCCTTGAGAGAAATATTTGCTGAATTTTCAGTGTGAGCATTTATGTTTCAGAAATCCAAAATAATTAGAAATTACAACATAACATTGTTTTATTGATTGTCTGGGCTTAAGAGAGTGTTAGTAATGCAGATTTAACTTAAAAGTGTGAACTGAGTTTTTTTTTAATATATATTTATTTTTAGTTTTCAACATTTACTTCCACAAGATTTTGAGTTCCAAATTTTCACCCCATCTTTGCCCCTCCCCCCACCCCAAGATAGCATGCATTTTGAATTTCCCTTCTGCTAGTCTGCCCTCTCTTCTATCTCTCCCCCACCTTCTCTTTTCCCCTTCCCCTTCTATTTTCCTGTAGGGCAGGATAGATTTCTGTACCCCATTTCCTGTATTTCTTATTTCCCAGTTGCATGTGAAAACTTTTTTTTAAACATGTATTTTTAAAACTTTGGGTTCCAAATTTATTCCTTCCTCCCTTCCCACCTACCCTCATTGAAAAGGCAAGCAACTCAATATAAGTTATATATGTGCAGTTATGCAAAATACTTCCATAGTAGACATGTTGTAAAAAACTAACTCAATTTCTCTTAATCTTATCCTGCCCCCCCATTTATTCTATTATTTCTTTTGACCCTGTCCTTCCCCAGAAGTACTTCTTCTGATTACCCCCTTTCCCAATCTGCCCTCCTCTCTATCATCCCCCTGTTCTTTTGCTCCCTTTCCCCTCCTATTTTTCCGTAGGGTAAGACAGATTTCCATACCCAATTGAGTGTGTATTTTAGTGAACCGAGTTGTTAAATGTTTATCAGCATACCTAAGTATGGCTCTATGAATATTGTTTGAGTTCATCAAAAGTGCAGCAGAAGTCTCAGGAGCTGAAGTCCTCACCAGACTGGAGGCCTGGTGATAATATGGGAATAATGTACTGATAATAACTAGCAATTGCATAGTGCTTTAAGTTTTGCAAAGTCTTTTACATCCATTATCTCATTGGAACCTCACAACAACCCTGCATAAGCCAATGAAAGAAGCAATGAGGTGGTGTAGTAGATATAACACTGGGCTTGGAATCAGGAAGACTCATCTCCATGAGATTAAATCTGTCCCCCGAAACTTCCCAACTGTGTGACCCTGGGCAAGTCGCTTAACCTCAGTTTGCCCTGGAGAAGGAGATGGCAAACCATTCCAGTATCTTTGCCAAGAAAATGCAGTGGACAGAGGTCTACAGGGTCACAAAGAGTCAGACATGACTGAACAACAGCAAAAGTCAGTGAAATCATGGGTCCAATCCTTATTCCTATCAAGTTCCCCCAACAGGGGGATTTCATAGAATCACAGATCTAGAACTGATCACCTAGTCCAAACTTCTGATTTTACAGAAGGGGAAAGCAAGGCCCAGGGAAATAAAGCGACTAGCCTACGGTCTCTCCAGACATATTGGGCTAGGAATCCTAAGGTCTGAATTATAGGCCCGTACATGTCATTAACCATCTCTATGACCCAGGGAAAGTGACAGGACTCTGGCCATCATCTTTCTCATCTATAAAATGACAAGGATCTGACTGAATAAAAAGTTCTTAAATTGTTTGTTTGTTTTTTGTGTCATGGAGCCATTTAGCAGTCTGGTGAAACCTTTCTCAATCAATAAGCATTTATTAAGTACCTGCTATGTGCCAATCATTGTGCTAAGTGCTAGAGGGACAAAAAAAGGCAAAAGACAATCCCTGCTCTCAAGAAGCTTACAATTTAATAGGGGAGACAACATGCAAACAAATATATACAAAGCAAAAATATACAGAGCAATTATAGACAGGATAAATAGGAAATAATCAACAGAGAGGAGGGATTCAAAAGGGTTAGGGAAGGCTTCCAGTAAAAAGATATGATTTTAATCGTGACTTAAAGGAATACCTAGAGGTCATGACTTAGGTGGAGCAAAAGAGGTAGAGCATTCCAGAAATGAGGGACAGCAAGAGAAAATGTCCAGAAGCAAGAGATGGAGTGGATCTTTCTACCTTTCTACCTTGCCAATCTTCTCACACATTACTCTGCATAAGTCCCCTTTACTATACAGTGTCACTGCCCTCCTTGCAATTTCTAGCACAAGATACTCACTCCATCTCCCTGATACCAGGAATTTTCACTGGCTGTCTACCATGCCTAGAATTATCTCCCATCTCAGTACCTCCTGCTTCCTGGCTTCATTAAAGTTTTAACTAAAAGCTCACCTTTTGCAAAAAGACTTTCCCAGTCTTCCTTAATGCTAATGCTTTCACTCTGAAATTATCTCAGATTTATCATATATATATATATATATATATATATATATATATATGTATATATATGTATATCTTCTTTCTACAGAGTTATTTGTATATTTTCTCCTCCATTAGAATATAAGCTCTGTGACATTTAAAAAGTTCAAGAGATAGTTTCTGGGTAATTTATTATTTTATTAATAATGTTAGCATTTTATTAATAAAAGGGTCAATGACACTCCCAAATGCCAAAAACTAATCGTGGTGGTGAGCTCACAGTTTATATGCCCTTGGAAGAACAGGTATTCCTGAGAGCAGCAATCAGCTCTGATTGGTTAACAATTGAGAGAATGAATATTATACTGAGAAGTGGGCTTATTCCAATGACAGTCTTGAGGTAAGTGACACCAAGCACCCAAATCTTGGGCAAAGGGATTTATCAAATCCGTGTCACCCACTTGACAAAAGGCAGAATCCACATTTTCCCATACCTGTCTGAGTAAACACAATGAGCAGGAATCCACTCATTCACCTAAACTTAAAACTTCTTTTTTGTCATTGATCATATCTTAGGTTTCTTGGCAGGTTAAGTCTTTGGCCAAGATTTTCCACTCCGGTTGATTTCTGGATGAGGAAGTAGAAAGGGGGAAAAAATCTTGGCCCTCATTCAATAATTCATTATTAAACACAATAAAGAAATAATTTATCTCAGCTCTTTGAGGAATGGGATTATTTTTGCCTTTCTTTTTATCTTCAGCACTTAACACAGTGCCTGGCACATAGCGGTGCTTAATAAATGCTTGTTGACTTGTTCCATTCATTCAAAATTGATTGATTTTAATGAAGTAAGGCAGAGAGAGAAGGGAGGATATGAGTTTAAACATGAGAGAGTAATTTTAGCATTCAGAATCATAAAGGTCAAGCTGTTGTGGGTGATGGCAAAATCAGGGGCATGGACATCCTTGTGTGAGGGTGAGGCATAGTTCTCCTTAATCTTAGTACCTCAGTACCTTCCCTCTGAGATTATCCCCCTCTCCATTTATTTTATGTATAGTTTATTTGTGCATAGCTATTTGCATTGTTGTGTTTC